CTTTTCGCTTCTGTAAGTTTTTGTCTCAATTCTTGTTTGCTGTTGAGGCCACCCTTTGAGGTTGATGCCACAATATTTTTGGGTTTGCCCTTGCGCTTTGTTAATTGTAAAACTAAAGGCTAATTTAATGGGAAACTGCAATCTTTTAAATTGAAATAGCAATTCAGAAGAGATCAGTGGTATTCTAGGTATCAATACTGTGTGTCCTTTGTTCTTTCCAGTAATAAGTTCGGCTTTAATGATATTATTTGATAGCTGTTTTACAATCATCCTCGTTCCATAACATAGTTTTGGGGAGTTGAGATTTCTGAGTAGTATGATTGGAGATCCAATTTTCAGACGAAGGCAGTATAATAGCATTCCTAGTAATTGTAAAGAGTTTAGAAATTCAGTGGGAAAGTTGACGCTTTCTTCAAAAGATACCATCGTGTCGATCGATTTATATATTTTTTCTTCACCAGGTATTTTCTCTTTAGAATACTAAAATTGATATCGTCAACAATATTATTTTTAGTGGCCAAAATTGCTCTTTGAAATAACCACTCTACTTTGGTATAGTTCTGAATAATATTGGATAAATTTTGTCGATTAGTTCGTTTTCACTAGTGGCTATGTTTCAGAAATCACCATTGAGTTCAATGAGGCCGGTCGTTTGGTCAGTAGGATATTTACCTTCGCCTATTTGTAAAAGCATTTTAGAAAAATGTGCTGTTGTTTCATCTTTTCATAATTCAGCTCTCCTGTTTTTTGTTAATTGCAGTATTTGTACTCGTAGCCAGAGATGTGACTTTTTTAAGCATGCATTGATCTCGTCTGCTGGTTTTGACTTGGGAATAACTGGAAGTGTTTGTCGAAAATCTCCTCTCCTCTCTCCTCCTTAGTATGAGTAGAGCTCCTCGCATTATTTCAGTTTTTTCGCAATTCTTGTAATGTTCTGTCCATGGCTTCTATTGATTTTTTATGGGCCATGGTGCATTCATCCCAGAACATAATTTTACCCTATTTTATAAGTTGACCCCGTCCAGTTTTTCCTGAGATTTAATGTAAAATCTCCAGAAAATCCGGTATGTACCGGGAATTGTTGTAGTTATAAGGCAGAATGGGCAGTTCGTCCTCCTTCCATAAGAGTGGCTGCGATGCCGGATGATGCTAGAGCCAGTGCGATGTGTTTTTGAGCATGTATTTCCGCCAGTATTAGATTTATTAGAAACGTTTTACCGGTGCCTCCTTGTGCGTTCAAGTAAATAATTCAAGTTTCTTGAAGTTCAAATACTCGACAATAGATGGCGCCACTACACTTAATTTCCAAGTTCAAATACTCGACAACAGATGGCGCCACTACACTTAATTTCCAAGTTGAAGGGTTGGAAAAACCCTTATATCTTTAAAAACACAGCCTGTAGCTTAAAACGGGAACTTTCTTGTTCGAGGGGGGATAAAGGGCTATTATACCATATATCCCTTTATCGTGCCGGTTTTTTTTTAAGTTTTTTCAGCACGCACATTTTTTAACTAAGTTTTATTTTAAGATATAAAATATAAAATAAAATTAATGATAATAGGAGCTGATACCTGCAACTTCACTTGGTTGTTCTCTTTTTCTTTTGTATCAAATTCCATATGATAAAATACAACAATTTTAGTATGAATAGTTCTATTTTTATTAAGTGGAAAAATGAATAACGTAAATCGGTCTGGCATTTTAAAACACGCTGTTATATCCTTTTCTTTTTAATGTTTGGAAAATCCGTTACGGATTCTCCGCCCACCGGGAGAAGCGAGACGGAGGTATCTGCGGACTCTTCCCCACCCCCTTCATTCAACCTCTCGACTGAGTGAAGCAGGCAGGGCCCTACCCAGTAAAAACCAAACAATACTCCAGCACCTTTCCCCGACACCTATCCCGAGGACCGCGGTCCTGACATACGTGTAAGGGGGCGAGCATGGGGGTACCATGCTCGCCCCCTTACACGTAGTGGGACTGGTCATGCGCCCGCAGGTGATTGTCCTCTCCCGAACCCTACACCGATGTGCGGTTCCCCGTAGTAAAAGGGGCACCCACCCATCACAGGAACGCGTGCAATGCGGGCTGGCGCTCCCACACCAGTCCGCTGGTTCCCGGAGGAGTGGGAGGGGGAGCGTAGTTCTCCCCGTCCCTCTCCCCTCGCCATCGGAGTCGGAGCTACCGTTCCCTTCCCCCGGGCGCCCACGTCTCCCGTTTCCCTCTCCTAGGAGAGGGAAGGAGAGCCGCAGGTGACCGGGGACGGCGGTGAGAGTTCCGAACAACCGTGAGGTCATTCGGACATTCCCCCGCCTGGGTCCGACAGCTCCAAAGACTCATCGGCCCTCCGGTTCCCTGGGGGTCCACCCCCAACATTACGCCCCCCGCCTGCGGGGGTCTTGCCCCCGTCGACAGGAACCCCGTTCTCGAGGGACACGCCCTTGACATCCGGAGGGTCGCAACCCCTTCCGCCCATTTTGTGGTCCGCCGGTCGCCCAGCTTCCGCACATATATCGCAGCGGAACTTGGCGGCGAAACATTTTGCCGCCTTGTGTCCACTCTCTCCACAACGGAAGCACAGTTGGCTCCTATCCGTCTCCTCAGGACAGCGCTGGCCACAGTGGCTCTTACCCATGCACCTGAAGCAGCGCGTGGGCAAGGGCCCCATGATTCGAACCCTCACCTGGCTCCATCCGATTTGGAGCGTCTTCCCTAGTGCAAGTTTCTTCGCGGACGCCATCGGGAGTTGCACCGTGATGCTCCTCGATGCCATTGGACCCAGCCATGCATGACCCACCTTTATCTTGTCTATAGGACAGCCTCCTTCAGCAGCAATCACCTCAGCGATCTCTCTTCGTCCATTGGACTCATCGAGGCCGGTAAGGCGCAGATGTGCGCGTTTTCTGGCCTCCTGATCTCCATATCTGCGGCCCTTGTCGTCTTCTTCAGTTGCTCAGCGAGGGCGTCCGCCTTCTCGCTGGCATTCGGTCCAGGAACAACAATAAGCCTGCTGCCCGTCTGGCTCTCCTTTATGGTAACCCCCTTGGGGATGCCCAGGGTCGACAAGGAGATTTCCTTCTTGACGTCCATGATGACGTACATATATGTCACCCCCCTCTGCATTGCTTCTGGTGTCAACCTTATCTCTACGGCTGCTGATACAGGGACTTTCAGCTTCTTCGGTGCACTTCCTCTAGGAGGCAGCTTCCTTTTCTTTGTGGTCTTGGCCTTATTCTTCGTGGGGGCAGGAGTGGAGATAGGTTTCGGAGTGGGAGTGGTCGGACTGACCCCCTGCTCTGCCACCTTAGCTGCCTTTGCCCTCGTCTTCTTCTTTCCGCGCACTGCCTAGCTCCACGGTCGTTCCGCCGCGGCTGGTCGGCTCGCGCCTTCTGCCACTGCGTCCTCCCTCCTAAGAGGGGGGAGTCTCGCCTCGATGGCGGCAAATTGAGCGCCGACCATCTCGCTGATAGAGGCTACCATCGAGGCTTTCAGTTCCTCGATTGCCGCGTTCGTCAAGCCCGTTGATCCAGGGGCTGGTGAAGGGGCCGGTGGGCATAGACTCCCTCCTGTGGCCCTTTTTAACTCCTCCTTTAGTTCGGACTTCCTCCCTAAGTCGTGCCAGTTCTTCCCTCAGGCGGTTGTTCACATCCACACTGTTTCGCACTTTGTCCATCTTCCCCGCCTTCTTAACGAGGGTTCCGACTGCCTCGTGTACCAATTGTACGGAGTCGACTAGCGTATGGTAATCGGCGGTCCTCAGTTCTTCCGCGCAGTTTATCACCATCAGCTGTCTCCCCTTCTCCTTTTCTATGACTTCGACTAATTCTTCAATCGTCTTCTCAGGATCCACTTTTGGTGGCTCCTGAGGCTCCGTCCTCCTGGGTCGTAGCTCCATAGACGTGAAGGGCTGAGGAGCAGGCACTGCCCGCTTCCGTTTGCCCTTGCCCCGTTAGGACGTGTTCACCTTGGCGGGGGTAGGTGTCATGTCTCCCCAAAGTACATCCTCGTCGCTCGTGTCGCGCTCACAGAGCCCTCCACCTCTCAGGCGAAGTACTCCGCGATTATCTCCTCCTGCCAACGCCTCGGTAACCAATTTACCACTGCGAGACCCGGTAATCCCGCAGCGCCGGTGGCCCGCCGGAGCGCATGGGCCGCTTGTAACACATTTCACACTCTGGGGCCCAGCTACCCCAGAGCGCCCGGTGTCAACGGGATCGCACGACAGGACGAACTCTCTGTCTGACATTTTCATCAAAATAGTCCCTCTTCCATGCGAGGGAACCCTACCTGGCCTTCGTCAGGGTTGTTTTTGATGAGATTGTCACCCTCTCGGCCCCGATCCCTGAGGATAGCGGCCCCCGGCCCCGCCCGCACCACGTGCGGGGTAACGAGTTGGCCGGAAGTGACGTCGTGGTCACGCCACAACCGCCCTCACCACAACAGGCGTCTCCGCCCCTCCAACAAAGTCTCGACTGCCGCTACCCGGGATACCCAGGGCGCCAGCCGAGACACACCAGGGTGATTTTTTGAGAGGTTTTGTTCCTCGCAGCCCCCGCCTTCAGAAGAAGACGGCGGCCCTCGGCCCTGCACTACGTTCAGGGTTACGAGCTCCTACAGGGCAGCAACCTGCCCCCTCCCTCTGGAGCCACTTGGTGGCCCCCCTTATGGGTGATTTTTTAGAGAGGTTTTCTTCCTCGCGGCCCCCTACCCTCCGAAGAAAGTCGGCTGCCCTCGGCCCCGTACTACGTACGGGGTTACGAGATTTGGCTGGTTTTGGTCCACGCCGGCCGAAGTCGGTACCCCCATCCGCCACCCGGGAGACGCACCCGATGTCAGGCCAGCCAAACAGCGCACGGGACGATGTTATATCCTAAAACGTAATAAAATTACTTACATTACATTCTAATTCATGCAAAAAGGAATAACTTTCTTATAAATAGTTTTTAAGACATTATGAATATACAAATATAGTATGTGTAATATCAAAACTCTTTTGCAGGTAACTACTCCCGTTTAGTAGTCTACTTCAGGTTCGAGAGACAGATCGGCCACCACCTAATCCAGACGTTTGCTCCTTCGTCGCTGGTCGTCATGCTCTCCTGGTTCAGCTTCTGGCTGGACCTGGACGCCATCCCCGGCAGAGTCACGCTGCTGGTCACCTGCATGTTGACCCTGGTCACCATGTTCACAGGCCTTAGGGCTGATATTCCACCAGTGGCTTATGTAAAGGTGAGTTTTTACATTTTTTTGCTGGAAAATACTCTCATTTAGTGCGCATCAATGCATCTATCTCGACCCTGCTTCACATAAAAATTCACTTGTCCACTATATGCCGGCAAGGTATCCTTTCTTACTTCGGTCATACAGTGCGCAGAGTCAATGCAAATTTGGAAAAACTTATTATGGTTTGGAACATAGAAGGCAAAAGATCGCGCGGTCGTTTTCCAACAAGATGGACCGATCAAATTAAAGATTTGTCCTCATCCAAAATTCATGCATTGGTAAGAAAAACGCTGGACTGAAACAGATGCAACCCTGACGCTGACCAGATCCTCAGACATGAGGGACCAATCCCAGAGCAAGAGACTCCCGTTTAGTAGTGAACTTCAGGTTCGAGAGACAGATCGGCCACTACTTATTGCTCCCTCGTCGCTGGTCGTCATGCTCTCCTGCTTCCGCTTCTGCCTGGACCTGGACGCCATCCCCGACACATTCATGCTGCTGGTCACTTGCATGTTGAACCTGGTCGCCATGTTCACCGGCCTTTGGGCTGATATTTCACCCCTGGCTTATGTGAAGGTGAATTTTTACTGTTTTTAGGTTTCCATACCTCTCAAAAGGAATAATACGGAAAGCCTTTTAGGATCACTTTGTTGTCCGTCTGTCCATCTATTTTTCCGTCAAGATCCATTATCACAGGAATTAATGGAGATATCGAGTTGAAATTTAAACAATATACTTAGTTCTACGGTCCCTTGAATCTGTAAACAAATAAACTTCTAAGTAAAACTACAATCATTTTATGTTGCGTACTTACAAAGGAGATTGCTCATCTTCCATACATGTTTGGCTTAAAGACCAATAATCATGAAAATTTGTTTCCTAGATTCGAAATTATATATTAATTACTGTAGAAACGAAGATTATTGACGGACACCCCTAAGAACTTCTATAAACCATATACACTGAACATATTATTATAATAAAAAACAAATATTTATATACACTTCTGGACACATCTATTGGCCCACCTTAGAGTTTAGGTTTCGATGGCCCCTACCGAAATATGATTGCTAGATTGAACAAAAACTGTTGATGCAGTTTTAAACCTGATACATTTTACCATCTTTTTCGATTGTATTGTTTTAAATTTGAATTCAGAATACCATACGACATGGAGCTACGCCTAACAAGTCGGATATGCGCCTTGTTAAAGGCTATTGATTTTTGAATAAAAAACATGTTTTATCAAATAAAGGTTTAATTTAATAACGCGTGTTGCCTCCATGGGCATCTACCACCGCTCTCATACGATTAGGCATAGAGTTTATCAACCGCTCTATAAAATTTTGAGGGATCATCTCCCATTCCTCTTCTATGGCAGTTTTCAACTCCTGCATCGTCTGGGCAACTGGCTGACGAGCCTTAACACGTCTTTTTAGCTCATCCCACATGTGCTCAATGGGGTTCATGTCTGGGCTTCTGGCTGGCCAGTCCATAACTGTGATGTTCACATCCCGAAGATATTCCCTGACGATGCCGGCCGCATGGGCTCTTGCATTATCATGCATAAAAAGGAAATTTGGGCCCACATAGTCCGCGTATGGTAACACGTGAGGTTCTAAGCACTCACGAATGTACCTTTCAGCATTTTATGTTGGCAGCCGTGGTACTGTAACAACCTCAAGTTGAGTTTTGGCTCTCGCGGATATACCGCCCCAGACAGTCCATGAGCCACCGCCATAAGCAACCCTCTCTTCAAAGCAGCATTGTGCGAAACGCTCTCCCTTACGTCGGTAGACCTTCTTCCTTCCATCATTGCCATGTAACACAATTTTAGACTCATCAGAAAAGAGTACACGGCTCCAATCTTGCTGTGTCCAATTTAAATGACTGCGTGCGAAATGAAGGCGCGCTGTTCGGTGGGCTCGCGTTAGTTTGGGCCCATTAGCTGGCTTGTGTGGTACCATATCGCGTTCTTTTAAGCTTCTCCGAACAGTTCGAGCGCTCACAGATACTCCGTGGAAGTGGCGAATTTGTTTTTGTATCTCAATGGAGGTAAGGTGACGATTTCTCAAGCTGGTCGTCACGATGAATCGATCCTGCCTTTCAGTTGTGACCCGAGATCGTGGCCTTCTTTGGCGACGAACAAAGCCGCCAGTCTCTAGGTACCTCAGATAAACATTTCGGACCGCAGATCGACTTAAATTAAGTTGAGCACCCACGTTTCTTTGGCTGTGTCCGGCCTGAATAAGTGCCACAGCTTGGGCGACGACTTCAGGTGAAGTATCCATAGATTATTGATAGAACCTCACCTTAATGTTAAGAATAAGTAATGTTTGTTGCAAAACCAAAGATGTCAATCACTTTTTCAAGAATTAAATCCAAGTAAACCAATAAAACCAGTTTTTCTTAGTATTCGATTGATAGATATCATAAACAGGCTCCAAATTGTCTTTTGTTTCTTTAAATTCTGTGTTCGAAATTCAAAAAAAGACTATTGAATGAAATTGTGAATGTGCCAGGTTCAAAACTGCATAAAAACTTTTTGCTCGACCTAATATAAAATTTTAGCTAGGACCAAACGAAACTGAAAATACAAGGTGGAATAGATGTGTCCAGAAGTGTAGTAAACTAGGGAAATCAAGCCAAGTACCGAAATTATGGATTAGATTCAGGTATATAGAGCATGTAGATTAACAGATAGTTGCCTGTTTTTAAAGTTACTGCTTAAGAGTAACTTTTAAAATCAGGTGTCATTTCCGGTTATAATAAGGTAGGTACTCTGTGACAGAAACTGTGTGATGATTGTGAATGAGCCACAGATTAGAGAGAATTTTTAAACTCTCGTTAACCAAAGAAAGCTAATAGATTTAGGTTCTATAGCCATATATTCAGTAGCTTCATTATTTTTGTTATATTTTTAAGATAACTATATTTTAGATTTTTAGTGTATCACACCTTATAATTTTATTTATTTATTAATTTATAGTCAGGGAACGTAGGCCCATAGATAGATACCTTAAAGACTAACTTAAATACAGATTATAATGTTTATGAAGGTGTTTGGCGAAAAATGTATGGAAATAGACTTTATGATTTCGCCTACCATGTATAATAACTGTCTGAGAACATTTGCATCTAGTGAAAATGATAATTAGTTGTGGATATTAATACCACAGTGTAATATTATTTTATCGATCATTACAAAATAGATTTGTTTTGATGTTATATAAACAACTTCGATCAGTCTTTGGCTGAATGTTACTACACCCATAGTCATTAAAAATTATTCGTGTGATTTCCAAACCGGTAAAATTAAAAGTCCTTTAAATTTGGGCCAATTAGAGCAATCTCCTTTATACTAAACCCTTGGTGAATGAGTCCGACTCGCTCTTGTTTATCATATAAGTTGATCGAGACAGAGAGGAGAGACAGACAGAGAAGAAAAAAAAATCATATAAAATAACGCCCAGAAGAGGAAAATCATTTTCCTGCTGGGGTTCGTTGGAAAACTTTGGATTTTCTTTAATTATATTCGGCAGAACTACTAAGAAATATCGCTAAGAAACTACGCCTAAAGCTATATTGATTTTTACTTTATTTGAAGTGATTAAGGGCCTGTTAGTTAAAATAAAGTTAAATGTGTCAAATTTCGTCAAACTATTACTCTTAATAACGTATTTTAACTATTACTTCTGATCAAACAACGGTGTTTAAGTTTTTAGTAGAATTAGACAAAGTTTCATTGTAATTTAGTGACCTTTAACTAAGCGACAATTACGAAAAGAACTTTCCATGATCAAACTTCGCTACCTAACAATATTCTCTTATTTACTAACATACGATTTGAGCTCAAATTTTAGAGAGCATAAATTTTCGATAACCTGCGAAATTAAATGTTATCGAGTGCCTTATGGCCCTTTTTCCCAAATAAGGCAATGGAAGCAGTTTCAATTGGTCAATTATTTAATTTCTTTCTTAAGAAGACTGCAAGTAATACACATTAATCAGACTTAAGAATCATCGTTAATTACATAAATACGTTATACTTATTCATGTCAAAGAATGAACACGATAAGAATCATTAGCAAATCTTAATTAACCTCGAGTAATAAATTTGGTGAGAGCTTTCATAAAACTTACTCAGAGTTGCTTGATAAATAACGATTTATGAACTAATTTCAGGCGCTAGATTTATGGATGGCTGGCTGCATGATGTTCGTGTTCGCGGCTTTAGGGGAATTTGTGGTCGTCAAAGTACTGGACAAACAATATCAGATGAATAAGAACAAGTCTCAAGAGCTGCCGAGAATAATTCCTGTGGTAATTATGATGTTGAAATTTCTAATAGATATGAATTCGTAAATCGAATAGATATAGATTACACGACACGCATTTACAGTCTTTCTTTACGAAAATCATCATTCATGGTGTGTAGTATAAAAAAAAATCTTAATCTGTTCTTTTGTCTTACTAAACACACACACATATGGACCGATTTCAATTAACATGTGCATTCAAGCGGGTTCCCAGGCCGTTAAGATTCAAAATTGGATCCAATAAATGGCTCCGGATCTGGGATTTAATATAAACTCTTAAACGACTGGACCGATTTTAATGAAATTTTATGTGTCCATTTGATTTAATCCCAGGATGGGTAAGATTTACAATGGGACCGGTAAGTGGAATTGAAGACGGGATCAAGTTTTTTTTAATATTTAATCGGGCTGCACAACTGTACGGCATTCTCTAGTGTGCGAGGCATTAATTGACGACCTCCGTGGCTGAGTGGTTTGTTCACGGGGTTTCATGGTGTCGCCGACTCGAGAGGTCCCGGGTCGAATCCCGGTGGGGGCAGATGTTTGTGTGATGAATACAAGCATTTGTACACCAGTCATGGATGTTTAATATTTGTATTTCTATATAATTATATTTTTATATACAGTATATGTATTCTATCCGTTACCCTAGCAACCCATAACACAAGCCTTACACAGTGCTTACTTTGGGGCTAGGCTAATTGGTGGGAGTTGGATATAAAAAAAAAATACTCCGCAACTTCGTTTAACCGGGTAGAAACAACGTTTGCTTCGGCACTGCCACTAAAAATCATATCATTCGGATGAAGTAAATATATGATATTAATACCGTGACTTTATTCATGTGGACTTTTTAGAATTCAAAATATGAACTCCGTTGCTGTCGGTGTGATGTTATTATAATGGTAATACTTACGTACCATTTATATTATTTTTTTACCTTTGAACTCATATAGGGTGAATTTTTGCATGAATATTACAACCGTCTTCAAAAGGAGGAACGCCTTAATTCGACTGTATGTTTTTTTTTGTTTATGTGCCATGCATGTTGATAGATCTAAGTTACCTTTTCACCAAATATTAATTTGACTTCAATTAAATGTACTTTTATTACGTCTAAGTGAAGAAAACGTATTAGTTTTTACTTTTTAGTGGTTTTGTTTTTATTAAGTCGATAATTGTTTTTGTTAAAATTGTATTAAAAGTAAGCATAGGTAGTATCTATTAGTAAATACAAAATAATCGTTTTTTTTTAAATATCAGTAACTTTATGTGAAATATATGACGTATAACGAAATTCATATAATAAATCTCACAAAGAACAGCGTAATGTATGACAACAATCCAATTACAACATAATTTCCGCGTTGTTAGGTATCGTTTGACGATTTCCACACCAACACTGCGATATTTATATCGAAATAGGAAATAAATTGAAACTCAACGCTAAAAGCATTCTTTGCCACTTAACCATGTGAAGCCAAATTTGCATTTCATTACAGTAAGTAATTTTGTTTTATGTGGAAAATATCAGGTTTTTGTTGAAATTTTCACTATGCCAACATTAAAATCAATGAATGTAATTAACATAAAAGAGATGATAAAGATCTTTATTTATACTGTAAAATATTTTGGTTCAATTGTAGGTATAGGAAGGGAACGGTATAGCATTTATACAGTATGATTTGAGAACAATATTTTTAATTAGAAAGGACGTGGCTAAGAAACTGTCCTTAAAATGTTTTTTTTTATTATTAATCACACACCAATTGGCCTAGCCCCAAAGTAAGCACTATAAGGCTTGTGTTATGGGATACTAGGGTAACGGATAGAATACATATTATGTACATATATAACTATATTTTTATAGAAATCCATATTAAACATTCATGACTGACTACAAATGCTCGTATTCATCATACAAACATCTGCCCTCACCGGGATTTGAACCCGGGAACCTCTCGAGTCGATGAAACCCGACGTACAAACCACTCAGCCACGGAGGTCGTCATAATTTCACACTAGCCCGTAACATTTAAATATTTCTTTATTCATTATTACTTGTTTATTATTCTCATACAACTGTCGAGAAATAATCAAAGCCATAATAAAATTAACTTGTAAAAATAAACGAGTCTCGCAACACAGTTCTTCTAAAGTTGTAAATCTATGTAATACCAAGTCTGTTAATTTATTCATTCCCTATTTGAGTCACTTAAGTTCTTTCTTCTTCTGTCTTGTTATAGTAAGTTAGTTATGGTGACCATATCAATATTAAAAATCTTTTATGTTCAAAATATATTTTTGTAGATATTCCTATTTTTAAGGGTTCTCTAAAGGCTAAACACGGGTTCCTGTTACTAATATTTTGCTCGTCTTCACTATTTGAAATAGATATTTTTATAGTAATTAATCAGACAGCAGCAACTTACCAAATATTTACGGAAAATGGAGCGTAAGTTTTGTTTGATCGCGCACCGCACTTTCGATGAGCGCGCAGGTTCAATAAAGCCACAGGGATATTTTGTAAAAAAATAGAACCGACTTCAAAATGAACTTAAAATGTAGAAATAAGGTTTACCAACTGATAATATAATTTGAAGTTGATACTATTATCATGATCTCCCTACTTAACACATACCTTGGTATCGACTTTAAATATGTCAGTCGGTAAATCTTATTTTTACATTTTCATTTTTTGAAATAGGTTCTATGTTTTCATTTTTCCAATTCCTAATACGGAATATGCTACTGGTTGGAAATTTTACATGCGAAGGTAGGGCGCTCTACGCGGGTGAAACCATGGGACACTGCTAGTATATTATCAATCAAAGCATTCTTTAATAGAAAAACCCATGCAAATCGAATCAGTAGTTTTCGAGATAATCGCGGACAAACATACATACAGGTCAAACTGAGGACATATTTTTTTTAAGTATGTTAAAAAACCGGCTGTGCATCCGGAGTAGCAGCGATATAAAAAATAAAATAAACTGTGAATATTAATAAATGTTTCTTAATACGTAAGTTAAGTTAATTTGTGGTTAAAATAGAAAATGAAATGTTTATTTGTCATCTTCACCCTAAAATATTTTATTAATAAAAATATTAAATGTCCATAGACATAAACTTTTTCTGAAATAAAAATATATATATTACAGCCCTTGTACGGTAATATTTTTACGGTACATTATGATAATATGTTGAATTATGAAACTAAAAACTGTGTAATAAGAGGCAGTTTACGAGCAACTGTGTTGAAAAAAATATACCTAATTCAAAATAATCAGGGAATTAATGGTAGATTACAAAGATAAACATTGAATAATATAAGACTAGGTTAAGTTTAATAATAAGTTTAAATTACATAGGTTCAATAATAAAATACACTAACAATAAATTCACGTTATAAAAATACAACCAGAGGAACTTGATTCTTGTATAAGTGGCAACACCTGAATGACGTTTAGGGTTCATGTTCTTTTATGTTAAAATTCGAAATTTTACGATTTTATTGATGGTATGTGTTCCCAGTGTCCTTATTATTAATTTTTATATTATTTCACTGTGTAAACTATTTTTTTTTATTATAGCCAAATGGTAATGAAACTTTCGGTCCGTACACCTCACAAACAACTGTCAGTGCAGTGACTGACTCGGTGAAGGCTCGGGTATGCCGACTTTGTTGTAGTATTTATTGCCGCATTTGACATGTACGCCGGCGGTATCTAGTCGAGAGATGCGAGACCATCATGAATCATTCATGATTACGATACGAAGATTGTAATTTCCTTCAAGAAGTTGGTGAAAGTGGCCCTTATTTTATTTATTTATTTATTTATTTATACTTAATGCACAAGTGTACAAAGGCGGACTTAATGCCATAGGCATTCTCTACCAGTCAACCATAGGGTGTTGTGGATAAATAGTGGTAGGGTGCACAAATTAGATGGAAAAAAAAGACGAACAGATATAAATACGAAGTAGTCATATACATAATTACACATACATAAATAAGTACTTACATATAAATAAACATACATATATATTCACACATACATACACATATAAACATATATACTAAATAAATACATAATAATGACGACTAACGATTAGGCTAGACTGCTTGTTCTTGTAAAAAGCTTCGTAGCTTGGTTTTGAAGCTGATTTTGTTGGTGGACATTCTGATATCTAGAGGGAGTTCGTTCCACAGAAGTATGGTTTTGACGAAGAAGGATGAGTGAATCGTATCAGAGCGATGAGATGGAACAATAAGTAAGCGGTTAGTAGAGGATCGAAGATTTTTAGAATGAGCGGTACATAAGTACTGAAATTGGGAAGTGAGATAGAAAGGGGCATTTGGAGAATCCAGCAAGGAGAACAGAGTGGTCAGAGCCCGCATACTTCTGCGCTGCCTAATAGGCATCCATTTTAGAAGAGATCGGTATGCGGACACATGCTCATATTTTTTAAGATTGAAAACAAATCGAATGCAGTTATTCTGAAGTCGATCAAGTTTATTGAGTAGATCTGCATTCAGATCGAGGTAGCACACATCACCATAGTCGATTATAGGAAAAATCAAAGTTTGCACAAGCATTGCCTTGATGTTGATAGGCAAAAAATTTTTCAAGCGGTAGAGAGCACGCTATGTTCCAGTTACCTTTTGACAGACACTACCTACCTGATCCTGCCATTTGAAATTTGAGTCAACATACAAACCAAGATTTTTTGCAACATTACTAAAAGGTATCAAAGTGCCGTCATAGAATATAGACCCAAGAATGTTTCTGTCAATTCTGCTCATCATTCTTGATCCACCTATTAACATAGCTTGACATTTAGCAGCATTGACAGTGACACCAAAATTGTCCGACCATGTTTTGATAGCCTTTAAGTCACTGTTTATCGCATCAATGGCATTGTTTAAATCATCAATACTTGCTTCGGTGTAGAGTTGTAGGTCATCAGCATATAGATGATACGAACACTGAAGTTTGTGAG